CATCATCATCATCATCATCGTTGTCATCATCATCTTGAGTTTTCCCAATTTCTAAAGTGGGCTGTTGATTGCATGTTCTCCTGTAGCAACGGGGTTCCCTTGTGCCCCCCAGGGGCAGCTCTGGGCACTGCATTCTCTCAAACTCAACTCAGTTTCAACTCTAAGGTTGAAAATGACATACAGGCCCTCAAAAATTTAATTCAATCTGGCTTAAGCCAAAAGAGAATAGATCTGCTGAAGCACCCAATGCTGTGCCCTCCCCTGCGGTCATCATGTGTCTGGTCCTTCTTGAAGATTCAATCTGCACTGACAGTGTCATTTCTTCAGATAGTCCTTTTGGAGTTCCCTATTTATTGAACACTAAGTACTTGTTCTATGCCAGTCTCTATTCTAAGCACTATAGAGCTGCTGTGACCTGCACAGATGAAAATCTCTTGCCTTGTAGAGCTGATATCCTACTGGGGGAAATGGAGAAGTAACAAAATAATATTCTATGGAGTATATCAGGTGGTTTCAAGTGCTAGGAAATAAAATAAATTAGGAAAGAGTGGAAAGGTATGTGAGTGTGTGGTTTGAACAAAGGGACCAGAGCAGGCCTCAGTGAGGGGGAAACCTGTGAGTCAAGACTTGAAGGAGGCTCAGGAGGGACCTTGGAAATATCAGGGGAAGAACATTCCAGGCAGAGGGAATGGTAAGTGCAAAGGCCCTGGGGCAGGACTATGACCTCTTTGAGGTGGGAGTTGTTTGTTCCTGGCTGCATTCCCAGGAACTGGAGTGGCACTTGGCGCATAATAGTGTTCAATAAATATGGCATGAATGGGTGAAAAACCCAGATACTGGGTTTAGGAAAAACCTGCTCAGGGCTCAAATGATTCCCATGGTTGTTACCCCCTCTACCTGTTGGTTTTATTCTCAGAAAATGTTTCTCCTCTGGTCCAAGATAGTAACTCAGCTTCAAATTTCACTTGAGGAGTAAGAATTTCTCAGTATTGTCAAAAAAAGCCCCTACACAGCTCATTGACTGATTGGTCCACCCTCCATCAGTCCCTGAAACCAGCAGATGCAATGCAAGAGTGGCTGAGGATCAGGTCACATGCTACCCTCTCCCCACAGTGACATGGAGAAGAACCCCAAGGGAAGTCAGAAGGGGGGGGCAAGGGTGCTGGGCCAAGAGCCCAAGTTTTATAGAATAATCATAACCAACATTCATTGAGTGCTACTGTGCATTGACACCAGGGGAAGGGACAGTTCATGCTCACAAGAGCCCCATGAAGTTGTGAGCCCATTTTACTTACATAGAAATTGAAGCCAAGAGGAAACCGAGGCCTGACATTTCGCGGCTACTAAGTGGCAGAGCTGGGAACTCCTTTCAGAAAGACCCAGAACCTCAACCCTGAAATCCCTTCGCGGTCTGGTGGTCACCCGTCTCCAAGTCAGAGATGAGCTGGCTGGATCAGTCACGGAGCTGACGGCGGAAGCCTTACATGGCAGCAAAGTGAGAACACAAAGGAGCTACCTCTGAGCAAAGGGAATGGCTGGGGTGGGGAGGGGGTGGAGGGGCGCCCATGGTCTATGGTGGAGGACTATGGTGCTTTGGTGGCGGGTGTGGTGTGGTGACATACATCTGAGGAAGTGTGAATCTATTCTCCTAAATCATCTACAGTGTTGTAAACCAAGGTTACCGCAATAAAAAGAAAAGCCCTCTTCCTCCTCACCCTCCTCCTCCCAACACCCATTTCCCCACCCTCCCTTCTCCCATCCTTCCCCTCCACCTTATCCCCCCACCCCCATACACCTTATTCTCTCCCCAGCTTCGACCCAATTTTTCCTCTCTCCACCCCTCGCTCCATGGGTGCTAGGACTGGCCATCCAGTGTGGCAGGATCAGGCTCACAGGAAGCACCTTCCCCTCTGCTGGGGAGGGGGCGTTCTTGAGGGAGGGGTACACAAGCTGCCTGGGGCTACCAGCCTCCTCCAGGCACTATACCTGCCCTCAGCACTGCTGCTACCCAGAGGCGGCAGCCCTGCTGGCCACAACCACAGAGGGCCCTGTGGTCTGCCCCACCACTGTGCACCTCCCTCGACTCCATGAATACACCCCCACTCCTCACAGCCTCAGCCCAGCGACCCCCACCCAGCCCAATCGGACATACCCTCAAGACTCAAAATATCAGGGAAGTTTACACGGCCGTGGATTAGCTTCCGAGGATGGCCAGAACAAAGTCCCACACGCCAGCAGTTAAACAACAGAAATTTATTATCATAGCCTGGAGGCCTCGAGTCTAAACTCAAAGTGTCAGCAGGGCTGCAGGCGAGCTGGAGGCTTTCAGGGAGAACCCTGCCTTTCGCCTTCTCCAGCTTCTGGAGACAATCACAGTCCCTGGCTTTCCTGGTTTATGGCCCTATCACATCAATGTCTTGCCCCCACCTGAAAGCCCCTCCCTTTTTTTCTTATTAAGGTACCCTAACACCATCATCACTGTAGGGTAACCAAGACCAAGTAGATGTTCAAGGATGTAGCTTCAAAAATCATTTAGAAATCCATTAGAGGGCTGCTGTAGTGACCAGCCAGGTTGGTATCAGGGACAAGAGTGGAAAGGCAATTAAGTATAAATCGTTCCACCCAGAGTGTGTCTCCTTTTATTTTGAACTGGCAGCTGCTCAACATTTGTGGACAAAGAAAATAAGAATGAAGTGAGGGTCTTTAAAGCTGCTCCATCTCTGTAGGAAAGTGACTCCCTCTTGCACTGGCGCTCTCTTAGTTGCCCTACTTCGGGGAGACAGCCAAATTCCCCATTGTTTCCTTCGTCCTATGCCTGTGAACCATAGACAAACCTATTAATCTTAATAGTACAAAGATGCACATAACACCTCCCCTGGACCCCTGATGTCACAAGTTTTACACCAGCTCCTACTCATGAGTTAAATATTAAGCTTCAGTGGAGTATAAGCAAACACCTGATAGGATGGGAAATCTGGATCCTTCTTCAATCGCAAGCCATGTCCACTGGCTCTGGCTCTGATGCATTTAAAAAATTTTAGGTGTGATTAACAGTTGCACCTGCTTCATTCTTTAGACTCAAACTACCTTTGCACCTTGGAGGAACTTACTCGTTCTCACATCTGCACAATCTTCCATTCAAGTTCACATAGTCCTACCTTGGATGTAGTCTGAGTGAATTCAACAGTAGCCCCTCATAAGATATGCCCACATCTCAATCCCTACCCTGCGACTTCTTTAGAAAAAGGGTTTTTGCAGATGTAATTAAATTAAGGCTTTTGAGATGTGATAATCCTGGATTATCTGGTTAGGTGCCAAATCCAATAACAAGTCCCAAGGGGCCTTCTGAAGACTTTGGAGTTGACAGGTTGAGCTACCCAATGGCACAGACTGTGGATCTGGACTGGAGCCCCAGCTGCCTTAGCTATGTGACCTCTAACTGTGAACTTCACACTTGCAGTAAAGTAAGGATAATCATGCCGAAAGGGATTTATATACACAACAGTTTCTCAGAGGTGCAGCTTATCAAGGTGAGGAAAGGTCCCAGGCGGAATTCTGCAAGATGACCCGAGAGAGAGAGGAAAAGAACATCAAGGCTGGCAGTCAGCAGGAGGGCTGGATCCTCTCCAGCTGGAGAGAGAGTGAGCCTGGGTGCGTGCTTCAACCAAATGATGCCTGAAGCTGCTGGAACTATACCTGTCTGAGCAAGAACCACCAGTACCTGGTCAGCAGCAGCCTGGGAGCAGATGGCCAGTGGTACCAAGTGCACTCCAATCACCAGGGGTGAGCTCCAGCCAGGCTTGTGGTCACAAGGCCATACCCACCCTGACATGAGGGTGGTTCTGCTCTGGTCTTGCCCTTGATCCACAGATCCTAGGGGAAGGACCCCCTCTACACTTCCCCTGCCCTCCTGAGGCCACCCCCTCCATTAGGGCCCTACTCCCTCCCAGCCTACCACACCCCACCCAGACTCCTCCCAGCTGCGGAAAGTGCTTGGGCCCTCAGGCCATGCCCCTCAGATGCCTATTGGGCCAGGTTCCCCACCCCGACCACACTTGTCTGGACTCTTTACTTGGGCCACACTTACTTCTTGAGTGTTACCTCAGACCAAGCTCCGGCCCCTGCCCTTTAGTATCCCAGAGGCCTGATCTCTCTGCTAGGACAAAGGGGTGGGGCACCAAGCCTGCCATTGTGCTCTTATTGGGACTCATGGGGTTTCTCCTTCTGTAACCCGACTGGTGCTACCAGAGGGTGTCAATTCCTATCAGGTTGCAGCCACAGCTGCAGGACATGGATGGGTCCTGGAGCCAGTGGACCCAAGGGGTGATTCAGCCACCTGTGAGGGGCAGAGTGTTCTTCTCCAGTCACTACAGTGATAGCCCAGAGCAACCAAGGACCCTCCTCCCTGGACCCTCTCTCCTTGCTCTGCCTTCCAAAATAGGGGTGAGTATTGCCTAAACTACAGCCAGTCACTTTTTCCCCGCAACACCAACCAGAATTCCCCCACCCCACCTTCCTCCTCCCCTATGAACCCCAGAGACACCCCAACCCTCACACTCTTGGCCATTCTAGCAAGGGGAACACAGACATAAATGCCCTGCCAAAGGTTTCAGCCAGCTGTCTGCAGTTTCCTCAGAAGCCCATGAGGACTATACCTGATTGGAGTATCTTTGGTTTCATCATTGTATTTTGACTTTGCCTCTATATTAGACTAGGTGTTCAATTAATATCTGTTCAATGAATGGCTGAATAAGTGAACTAATGCTTTAGTAAGTAAAGCAATCCACTGCTTATCAAGTTTGTCTTTGGGCTAATGTGCTAAGTCTCCTGCATTAGTCTTTAGTGCCATACCAGTATAAGCATCCTGTGGTAAAAGTTTTTTCTTGGTCCATTCAAGACTGAAACAAGGAGGGAAAAGTCTTGCAGACTACACCTCACTGTCAGAAATCCAGTTGCCTCTCCGTGGTGTTTAATTTTTTTTAAAGATTTATTCATTTTTATACAAGAATCAGGGTACAGGCCAGATGCGTGGGAGGGTGAGAGGATTAACCAGAGACAGAGCAGGGAGCAGAACAGGCAGACTGATGAAATACACTGTTGAGGGGAGAAGCGGGTGAGACAGGAGAGGTCTGCCACATCATGTGGGATTCTCGCCAGCCAGGATCGAACCCGCGCTGCAGAGGCTGCGGACAACCCCACAGTGCGGTGCTCAACCGCCTGCGCCACCAGGGAGGCCCTCTCTGTGGTGTTTAGATGTAGACTCGCCTCTCATCATAGCATTAAATCCTGGTGTGGCTGGCCCCACCACCTGGCTTAGACACAAGAATTATACTCCTTCTGTGTCAGTTTTTTTTACATATTTTTTGGCATTTTCTTGATACTTTTGGCACCAAGTCTTTCCATTCATTATAAAAATATTGTACGTCACGTTTGCCGAACGGAATCTGAAACAAAGCACACGAAACCATATCGCACAACTACCTATAGAGGAATGTCTACTGTCTACTCACTGGGTGATGACAGAAGCTGCCGCTTCTGAGGGCTGGATTCTACTTCCCATCACGAAGGTTTATTGTATGTGACATTCATTTTGCTTCTGGGAAACTCCTTTTCCCCCAGTTTCTCGTAACTCACTCGAACTCCTCACAGTTTGATTCACCTCCATAGGACAGAGTCACTTCTTTGGCTGCCTCCAAGAGGCACCCAAGTGAAATGGTGGGCCCATGGGTAAGCCCCAGTCAGACTTGGAGGTGGGTCAAGCTTATTCCCAAGAGTGCTTTGATTTTCTGTCTCTAACTACCATCACATGTGGGTTTCTCCCTTTGCTCCCATTTAAACCCATTCCGGTCTCACAGGAGAAGTGGATGCGAGAGGCCGAGGGCTGGGTTACAAGTCCCAAAGTCCCAGCATTTTCATTCTATGGGGCCTACACCTTAAGGGGGAGGGGGGCCAGGGAAGCAAACATTGTTTAAAAATGAACAATGATGTAAAAAATACATTTAAAAAATTATAAAAAAAAGAAAATGATGTCACACTTGTTGGGCATTTAATACTGCAGCCTCAGAGTAAGGTGCTGAGGGGTTGAGCGGGGGAGACACTTCACCCTTCATCACACACTCCCCCTTCTCTGTGGCTAAGCTGAGTAACCAACAAAGTGTGGGCAAGAACTGAAGGGCCCCAGGGCTGCTGCTCTTCCCAGGGGTCAAGCCTGTGTGTTCCCAGGGAGACTGAGCAAGGCAGGCCATGTTGAGATACAGTTACAGCATATTCATAATCCTGGAAACGATTTGCTTTCTAGGGTCTTCCCATAATTAGAGTCACTGTGCTTGAGCTCTGTCATTCGGGAGATAATGGCAATATTTAACAACTGATGTAAACAGGCCCTGGTCAGTCAGAATGACCACTGTTGGAGCAGACCCCAGAGGGCCGCTTGTGTGAGATGTTTCATTTGCAGGATCATGATGAAGACGGGGAAATCCATGTGGATTCTTGGAAGGAGCTGTTGACCCACAAGAAGGCCACCTTTCCATATTCAAACAACCAGCACTGCTGTGCCAGCGTGAACGACTGAAAAGCAGAGGCTCTCAACAACTCCAACGCCTCATCCTACCTGCCTTCTTAGCACCGACTATGCCTTTCTTTACCACATCCATATTCCTATTTCCTGATCTTTCAGCCAATGGCTGTACCATCTCCTCTGTCAGTAACCTCGCTGTGAGAAAGGTGTGTCCTAATTTGTGGTGAGCAAGCATGGCCTAGGCCAGTAACCCCCAAACCTGGCTGCTGAACAGGACCACCAAGGAGCATGTAAAATCCAAAAGCTGGGTCATGTGCATTTTTAAACATGGTAGATGGTCCTCATGCACAACCAGGCCCACCTCCTAAATCTGGCATCAGCAGAAAGCTCTGGGGCAATGTGGGGGCAAATACTCATGAGTTCCTGAAAGGTAAATGGGTGCTAAGAGTCACTCACAATGGCTTTTTCCTCCTGATGAACGAAATCAACAAAACCAGCAACAGCACTGCGATCGACAGGATTCCTGTGATTGATGCAGCAGCCAGGATGATGTTCTTCTGGAGGAAGCTCAGGAGCTCAGCGCATGGCACCTCCTGGTTTGAGACCGCTATATGAGAAGACACGCACCAGAGTAAACATAGAGATGACTCCACAGAGATCCGCAGGGACAACCTATTTGTTCTGCAGCAGAAATTAAAACCTCAGCATCTTAGACAGTAAGTCCAGATGTCCTATTGGGGGAGGAACTGGTTTTGTTGAGGAAAATATAAGCTGTATGTTGGTGGAGGTGAGATGGTGAAGATATGAACTGGCAAATGGCAAAGCCACCAAAGAGCCATAATTTGTTTCAACAAGTCATAATTTATAGGAGGCAAGGAGGGGAGTTCAGATGGAGGAAGGGGCTGGGGCACTATGAGAGGTGGAAAGTCCCACTGCCGTTGCTTTGAAGAACAACAGAGAGTCCAATATTTGATCTGAGCTGCTTCCCTTCCTCCTTTCCCACTCCCAACTTCAGGAAATCCTCATGTAAGATAAACATGGTGCCAGAGATGACCCCAAGTTCTTGCACCCCTCAAGTATTTGCAGAAATCTTGAGGGTAAGATTTGGAATGCTACCAAATGCGGGCTTGGGAATACAGACAATCTTAGCTCTCAAAACAAGGAGACCCCAGATATCATCAGAGACTTCTAGAACTTCAGACAGCCCATCTGTTTCAAAAATGAAAAAGAAATCAGAGAACTAGGGTATAATATAGGGTATAATATAATACAGGTACAATCACAAGAGTTGGGTGGTGTTGTGTGGAGAGTTGCTGGGGGGAGCCAGTGATGCAGGCAGGAGAATGCTGGCTAAGGACTCTCTCAGGTTATGGGCCATGTCAGCTTCCTGCCTCCATCTGTGCTGTATCCAGAAGCAGCAGCATCAAGCACTGAAAGGTCTCTGCTGGAATAATCCAACACTTAACTTGTCAGAGTAAGGAAGTAACAAACAGGTGTAACTGGCAGCAGATGGCTACACGGCAGGTGTGTACTGGGCTTAGTACCAGCATGGAGCCATATGAACACTGTCTCCCCACTCTGAACAGGCCTGGCCTATCGGGACCAGGTGAACATTTGGACCATAATCCTCTTGCTGGTCAGAGAGCCTCAGTGCACGGTGCAACAGGGGCCCAGAAGATGCCCATGTTATGAATAATCCTGGCTGCTGGCTGTGCAGGAAGAACACAAAACTAGCATCTGCTTGAAAGGATGGTCAAATTCCTGGCATTAGTTTAATTCATCATTTTAAGCACAAATCATATGTTTTTGTGGGCAAACGAAAGGTGTGCTGACATGTATTCTGTTAAAATACAATGAAAGGAGAACAGATGCATCCTGAAGTCATCTGTATTCAGGTATCTTATCTGACTCAAGCTACATAGATTATTACCTCGTCTATGTGCTTTTCCATGTGCTCCTTGAGCTATAGTAGTTAACAACTCACTTACATCCCTGCCCAACAGAGAGGGATCTGTATCCTGCTTCTCCTCTGAAACGTCACCTATAAAAGACAAAACATGTTCATCTAGAAACAATCACTGGCCTATGATTAGTTCTGTTTTTATGATGAAAGTAACTTCCTCTAAGTCAAAGTGAGAGGCTGGGGGGCCGGGTCGGGGGTTGGAGAAGAGTACACCTAGACATCAATCAGTGTAATATTTTTGTCAATTTTTTTTAAAGATTTATTTATTTATTTATACAAGCACTGGGTACAGTCAGAAGCACGGGAGGGTGACAGAATTCACCAGAGCCAGAGCAGGGAACAGAATAGGCAGACTGACGAAATACACTGCTGAGGGGAGCAGTGGGCACAACAGGAGAGGCCTGTCGCACCATGTGGGACCCTCGCCTGCAGCAGGGGATCAAACTGGTGCTGCAGAGGCTGCAGGCAGCTTCACAGCCCAGCGCTCAACCGCTGGGCCACCAGGGGAGGCCTTGTCAATTTTTTTAATCCAGCAAATTCCTAGGTAGGTAACACACGCAGAGACTGAGACCATCATTCTCATGCTCAAGTGTGCATCAGAATCACTGGGAGGGCTTGCTAAAATACAGGTTGCTGGGCCATACCCCAGAGTCTCTGATTCAGACCCAGGTCTGGGTCTGAGAACACGCATTTCTCACACGGAGCCTGAGTGACATTAACGCTGAGGTCAGGACCCAGCAATTAGAGGACCCTTGTGAGAACCTTTTAGCTGGCAGATAAGCCTTGGGCATGGTCTCTTAGTCCACAATAGAAATGACTTATCCCAACCAGGGCAGACCCAGCGTGCAGGGGGGCGCGTCCCCAGCATCGCTATTTTGGAGCAGGGACCTTTCTTTGGTGGAGACTGTTTGAAACTAGCAGAAGGCTCCCGGAGGAGCCAGAGGTGAGCTGGGAGGCTCGCCCAGGCCAGGCCCCTTCTGGCCTGCAGTCTGAGCCCAGAGGGGAGCGGCACCCACTGCTGGGGCAGACCAGGCGCACAGGGGAGTGCGTTCCCACATTGGCATTTTGGTGCAGGGACCTTTCTTTGGTGGAGACTGTTTGAAACCAGCAAAGGCTCCTGGAGGAGCCAGAGGTAAGCTGGGAGGCTCGCACAGGCCAGGCCCCTTCTGGCCTGCAGTCCGAGCCCAGAGGGGAGTGAGAACCCATCACCAGGGCAGACCCAGCGCACAGGGGAGCGCGTCCCAGGCATCACCATTTTGGAGCAGGGACCTTTCTTTGGTGGAGACTGTTTGAAATCAGCAGAAGGCTCCCGGAGGAGCCAGAGGTGAGCTGGGAGCCTCTCCCAGGCCAGGCCCCTTCTGGCCTGCAGTCCAAGCCCAGAGGGGAGCGGCACCCACTGCTGGGGCAGACCAGGTGCACAGGGGAGTGCGTTCCCGCATCGGCATTTTGGAGCAGGGACCTTTCTTTGGTGGAGACTGCTTGAAGCTGGCGGAGGGCTACCAGAGGAGCCAGAGGTGAGCTGGGAAGTTTGCTCATGCCAGGCCCCTTCTGGCCTGTAGTCGGGACCCAAAGGGGAGCAGCACCCACCGCTGGGGCAAACCTGGCACGCAGGGGAGTGCGTTCCCGCATCGGCATTTTGGAGCAGGGACCTTTCTTTGGTGGAGACTGTTTGAAACCAGCAGAAGGCTCCAGGAGGAGCCAGAGGTGAGCTGGGAGGCTCGCACAGGCCAGGCCCCTTCTGGCCTGCAGTCCGAGCCCAGGGGGAGCAGCACCCACCGCCGGGGCAGACCGAGCGTGCAGGGGAGCGCATCCCCCGCATCGGCATTTTAGAACAGGGACCTTTCTTCAGTAAAGACTGCTTGAAACCGGCAGAAGGCACCCAGAGGAGCCAGAGGTGAGCTGGGAAGTTCGCCCAAGATGCCGGCCAGTATCAGCAACACAGTGTCCCAAGGAATACGGCAAATTAGAAAACAGGCAGTAGGGAGTAGAAAAACCACATGCAACCCAGGAACTCCTCAGGAAAAAAGCACACCACAAAAAGAAAACCACCTACCAGATTGCAACGACAGTAACTTGAAAGAACTTCTGAGCCTTCCAGAAAGAGAATTTAAAATTGCCATGATTAAAAAACTGACAGAAGTCATAAAGGAAAACAATGATAAGGGAAAAATAATTAACGATGAGAAGAATGAAATTGAGTCCCTAAAGAGGGAAGTAAAAGAAATGCAGGAGATCAAAGAATTAATGGAGGTGCTAAAGAACTCTGGGAAAAGCAATGAAAGCAGAATAGATGAAATGGAAGAATGAATAAGTACTCTTGAAGATACAGAAATAAAAAGAACTAAAACAGAAAAGGAAAGAGAAGTACAAAGGAAAAAGACCGAAGGAAGACTTCAGGAACTATCTGACTCCATGAGGAAAGGAAATATAAGAGTTATAGGAATCCCAGAAGGAGAGGAGAGAGATATAGGAACAGAGAAAATATTCAAGGAAATAATTGAAGAAAACTTCCCAAACGTGAAGAAGGAGCTGAAAATTGATATACAAGAAGCAAGAAGAACACCAAACTTCCATGACGAAAGGAAAAATACAGCAAGACACATAATAGTAAAGCTCCCAAGAATCCAAGACAAGGAAAAAATAATGAAGCTGACAAGAGGGAAGAAACAGATAACATACAAAGGAAAACCAATCAGGCTGACATCGGACTTCTCTGAGGAAACACTACGGTCAAGAAGAGAGTGGAGGGACATAGTCAACTGACTCCAAGAAAACAGATGCCAACCAAGAATACTCTATCCTGCAAAGCTCTCCTTCCTCTATGAAGAAAGAATAAGGACCTTCCCAGACAAACAGAAACTCTCGAATTTCATTATGACTAAAGCCCCACTCCAAAAAATACTACAAGGAATCCTAAAGCCAGAACCTCAGAGGGACGAATAACAACAAAAGAAGGCCAAAAAAAAAGTTATTAAAAGAATAAATAAATAAAATCAAAGGAAAGACAAACACAATGGCAAATACAGATGCTAACATATCAATACTAACTCTAAATGTAAATGGACTAAACTCTTCAATAAAAAGAGTCGCAGGCTAGATTAAGAAACAAAACCCAACCTTTTGTTGTCTCCAGGAAACACATTTAGCTACAAAAGATAAAAGTAGACTCAAAGTTAAAGGATGGAAAACAATCCTACAAGCAAATGGACCAAAAAAGAAGGCAGGAACAGCTATACTCATATCAGATAAAATAGATTTCAAACTCAAAAAGATAAAAAGAGACCCCAACGGTCACTACGTTATGATCAAGGGGACAATACTTCAAGAAGAAATAACACTCATTAACATATACTCACCAAACGAAGGAGCACCAACATATATCAGACAACTGTTGTCATCTTTGAAAACAGACATCAGAGAAAACACATACATAGTGGGAGACTTCAACACACCACTATCAACAATGGATAGATCAATGAGACAAAAAATAAGCAAAGACATTAAAACTATAAATAAGGATCTAGAGCTCTTGGGCTTAACAGACATCTATGGAACACTAAACCCCAAAAAATCTGAGTACACATTTTTCTCAAGCGCACACGGATCATTCTCCAGGATCAATCACATACTGGGGCACAAGATAAACATCAACAGATACACCAAGATTGAAATCATACCAACCATCTTTTCTGACCATGAAGGCATCAAACTAGAAATAAACCATAAAAAGAAGGCAAGGAACTCTCCTACCTCATGGAGATTGAAACCCACACTACTGGAAGACCACTGGACTAACGAGGAGATGAAAGAAGAAATTAAAAAATTCTTTGAATTGAATGACAAGGAGGACACCAATTTCCTAAATGTATGGGATGCAGCAAAAGCAGTAATAAGAGGAAAATATATAGCAATAGAGGCTCACATCAAGAAACAAGAACTCAAAGAAACAACCTAATCTTGAAGCTCAAAGATCTAGTAAAAGAACAACAAAAAAAACCCAACACCAGTAGAAGAAAAGAAATAATAAAAAACAAAGCAGAAATAAATGAAATCGAAATTAAAAAAACATTCCAAAAGATCAATGAAACCAAGAGCTGGTTCTTCGACAAAAATCAATAAAATAGACAAACCCCTAGCCAGGCTCACAAAGGAAAAAAGGGAGAAAGCACAAATAAACAGGATCATAAATGAAAGAGGAGAAATCCCAACGGACACAGCAGAAATCAAAAGAATAATCAGTAACTACTATGAACAGTTATATGGAAACAAGTTCAACAATCTAGAGGAGATGGACAAATTCCTACAACTCTACAATCACCCAAAGCTAGATAAAGAAGAAACAGAACACCTAAACAGACCAATTACAACTAGCGAAATTGAAATGGTAATCAAAAACCTTCCCAAAAACAAAAGCCCAGGACCTGATGGATTTACAAATGAATTCTACCAAACGTTCAGAGACAAATTAGTGCCTATCCTTCACAAACTCTTCCAAAAAATTGAGAAGGAAGGGATAATACCAAACACGTTCTATGAAGCCAACATTATACTAATACCAAAACCGAACAAGGACAACACAAAAAAAGAAAACTACAGGCCAATCTCCCTAATGAACACTGATGCAAAAATCCTCAATAAAATTTTAGCTATCAGAATCCAACAATGTATCCATAAGATAATTCACCACGACCAAGTAGGATTCATTCCAGGGACACAAGGATGGTTCAACATCCGAAAATCAATCAACGTTACCCAACACATCAACAAAAAGAAATATAAAAACCATATGATCATATCAATAGATGCTGAGAAAGCTTTCAACAAAGTGCAACACCCATTCATGATAAAAGCCCTTGAAATTCTTGGGATAAAAGGAACATACCTCAACATCATAAAGGCCATATATGATAAGCCAACAGCCAGTATCATTCTCAATGGTGAAAAGCTGAAAGCATTTCCATTAAGATCTGGAACAAGACAAGAATGTCCACTCTTTCACCACTGCTTTTCAATATAATGCTGGAAGTCCTAGCCAGAGCAATAAGACAACAGAAAGACATACAAGGAATTCAAATAGGAAAAGAAGAAGTCAAACTGTCACTATTTGCAGATGATATGATAATATACATAGAGAACCCCAAAAACTCCACAGAAAAACTAATTAAACTCACCAATCAGTTCAGTAAAGTGGCAGGATACAAAATCAACACACAAAAGTCAGTAGCCTTCCTATACACAAACAATAAATCTGAAGAAGAAATTAAAAAAAAATCCCTTTTATTATCAAAACAAAAAAAAATCAAATACTTGGGAATAAATCTAACAAAAGAGGTAAAGGACCTATACAAAGAAAACTATAAAACACTGTTAAAAGAAATAGAAGAAGACACAAAGAAATGGAAAGACATCCCCTGCTCATGGATTGGAAGAATAAACATTATTAAAATGGCCATCCTACCAAAAGCAATATACAGATTCAATGCTATTCCAATAAAAATTTCAATGTCATTCTTCAAAGAAATAGAACAATTATTGATGAAATTCATATGGAATCACCAAAAACCCCCGAATAGCCAAAGCTTTCCTGAAAAAAAAGAAGGGAATGGAGGCATCACACTCCCAGATTTCAAACTATACTACAAAGCCATAATCATCAAAACTGCATGGTATTGGAACAAGAACAGACACACACACCAATGGAATCGAATAGAAAATCCAGAAATAAACCCACAGATTTATGGTCAACTAATCTTTGACAAAGGAGCAAAGAATATGCACTGGAGCAAAGAAAGTTTGTTCAATAAATGGTGCTGGGAAAACTGGGTCGCTACATGCAAAAGAATGAAGCTTGACTACTACCTCACACCATACACAAAAACCAACTCAAAATGGATTAAAAAACTAGACATAAGACCTGAAACCATAAAATATATAGAAGGAAATACAGGCAAAACACTACGTGATATGTACATCAAAGACATCTTTACAGACACATCACCCAAAGCAGTGATACTGAAGGCAAAGATCAACAGCTGGGACTACATCAAATTAAAGAGCTTCTGCACAGCAAAAGAGACAATAACAAAAACAAAGAGAAACCCCATTGACTGGGAGAACATTTTTGCACACAACACTAACGATAAAGGACTGATCACAAAAATCTGCAAAGAGCTGATGAGACTCAACAACAAAGAAAATAATCCTGTCCAAAAATGTGCAGAAGAGCTAAAAAGAAACTTCTCTGAAGAGGAAATGCAAATGGCCAACAGGCATATGAAAAAATGTTCAGCATCACTTGTAATCAGGGAAATGCAAATCAAGACTACCATGAGATACCATCTTACACCAGTGAGAATGGCACATATTAAAAAAACTAGCAACAACAAATGTTGGCGAGGGTGTGGAGAAAAAGGAACTCTCCTGCACTGCTGGTGGGAGTGCAAACTGGTCCAACCACTATGGAGAGCTGTGTGGAGATTTCTGGACCTACTAAAAATAGAGCTTCCATATGATCCAGCAATTCCACTCCTAGGTATTTACCCAAAGGACACAGAAACATCAATTCCAAAGAGCACCTGCACCCCTATGTTCATAGCAGCACTGTTTACAATAGCTAAGCTTTGGAAACAACCCAAATGCCCAAAAATAGATGATTGGATCAAGAAGATGTGGTATATATACACCATGGAATATTACTCAGCATTCAAAAAAGATAAACACATGCAATTTGCAGCAACATGGATGGCGCTGGAAGGGATCATGCTCAGCGAAATAAGCCAGAAAGAAAAAGAAAAATACCGGATGGTCTCACTCATAGCAGGAATCTAGAAAACTTAAATAAGGGACCAGGAAAATGAATAACTATAAGAAAGTGAAAATCAAAATCAACAAAAACTATGAACCAGAGACACTTTATGAGGGGTGGGGACGCAGGGAGGGGAGGGATTGGGGTCAAAATAAGGGGGTTGCAATTGTATGGGGAATATAAAAATAAAATTTATAAAAATTAAAAAAAAAAAAGAAATGACGTCTCGCAGATGGCATGAGGCTCATGAAAATAATTTATAAACCACAAAATACTAATTAACTACAACGAGCTATTTATTTATTGGTAGAGAAACTGCATAATGGTTTGGTACAAGCCAGTGGTTGAACATCATAAATACTTGCATTCTAACTCTGTCATTGGCTCTCTTTGACTCATTTGCATAGAAACCTTTCAATGGTCTGATTGAGTTTAGTTGGAGAAACTTGAGAAGCCAGGAGAGCTGTTTCCCCAGTATAGGAACAGCCCTGGAAAGGGACTGAGAGATGTTCTGAGAAGTTCTAGGGAGCAACGTAGAACCAATGAGTAGGAGTTCTGCAAAGATTTGTTTGACTGTTTAGCTGTTAGAAAGCAGGGCAATCAAAACGGGAATAGGAAGAATAAGAAGTGTTGAATTCTGCTGCCCTAGAAGATTTCAAATCAAGCCAGAAACCCCAGGCCCAGAGAGAAGCCTCTGAGAGCCAAGGGGATAGTTTTAAGGTGAGCTTAGTGAATGTTCCTTGGCCTAGTTCATAAAGGGGTATGAATAAGACAATGTGGTTAAGAGTATCATGAGGTCTTAATTATTCTTAGGGGGAAAAAAATTGTTCCATATTCAATCTGGCTTTGAAAAGAAAGAAAATTTCCAACTTATGACTCATAATTATTTGACTTTGGAAATGCCAACTTGTCAAATGAGAGTGGAGAAATTTATAAACATAAACAGATAACTCTGGATAACACAGATATTCCCCTAAGTGATTGTGCTTGCTCATTCTTTTATGGAGTTGTGGGGGAAAAAAATTGTCACTTGAACACAAATTTTTGCTTTTATGGTCTCTATACCTTTAAAAAAAACAACAAAGAGTATTAAGAGCCACTGTCTATACTTATCAATAGTTTCCATTTACCTAAGGATCTCCGGTTAGTTTGAAGGATGTCTTTTGCATGTGGCAGTTTGTCATTCTGATCAATTGTTGTATAGTTTTCTGTAGAGAAAAAATAAGCACAATAACCAATTTTTGTCAAATATCACCAATTTCCAAATTTCATGCAACTTTACAAAATCATTATCTATGAAAGAAACAGCAGCCCAACACAAGAGCAAATCCCTCTAGGCACCAATGATGCTGACTGAACCCCAGTGTCAATGAGTCACATTCTGCCATGAGTAAGGGCCTCCCTGGTGGTGCAGGGATTAAAGTATCAGCACTATCAAGTTATCACCAGCCACTGCGATATGAATTCGACCTCCAACCAGGAAGCTGATTGACACAGCACAGCAGAATCTCCTGTCTTACCACTGCTCCCCTCAGCAGTGTATTTCAGGAGATCTGCCTGTTCTATTCCCTGCTCTGTCTCTGGTGAATCCTCTCATCCCCCACACCTCTGGCCTACACCCCAGTTCTTGTATGCATAAATAAATATAAATATTTTTTTAAAAAGAATACAGGCACTGACTCAGTGATATCTGCTCTCCTATATTCACTGCAGCACTATTTACAAAAGCCACGTTACAGGGCCTCCCCGGTGGCGCAGCGGTTGAGTGCTGGGTTGCGAAGCTGCCTGGGGCCTCTGCGACGCCGGTTCGATCCCCAGCTGTTCCCCGGCCACCAGAGGAGGGTCCCACATGGCGCACAGACCTCTCCTGCCCTCCGCTGCTCCCCTCAGCAGTGTACTTTGGTCCTTCTGCCTGCTCTGCTCCCTGCTCTGGCTCTGGTAAATTCTCTCACCCTCCCGCGCTTCTGATTGTACCCAGTGCTTGTATAAACAAACAAACAAATAAATAAATAAAAACATGCCTCTATAAAAAAAAAAAAAAAAAAGCCACGTTACAGAAATAACCTAAGAGTACACAGACAGATGAGTGGACAAACATGTGGTACAGATATATAAGGGAATACTACTCAGCTAGTAAAAAAATGAAATAAAATAAACCCTGCCACTTGTGACATGGATAGGACTGGACAGGGTTATGCCAAGCAAAATAAGTCATAAGGAGAAAGACAAACACCAGATGATTTCACCCATATGTGGAATATAAAGAAACAAAGCAAAGAAACAGACAAAAACCAAACAGAAACAAACCCTGGAAATCTGACTATTGATCTGAGGCTTCCAGAGTGGGAAGGCAGGCTTGGAGAGCAAGGGGGAGGGCACCCCATGGGCTGTGGTGGAGTACTGTGCTCTGGTGGTGGGGTGGTGTCATGACATACACTTGAAGAGGTGTGAGCCTGCACCCCTAAAATAGACGTTGTTATAAATTATTATAATATTATCATGATAAAAATAACTTAATTTTTTAAAAAGGAAGTCCAGTTTGTACTTAAAAAGTGGTCAAGAACTGAGTCAAAATCCTATAAGGGGAAAAATCAATAAAGGGAAGAGTCTTAGAGAAAGTGATGGCATTTTGGTAATATGCACAAATTCTAGAGACTCTATCAGCACAATTTGGGACATGTCATGAAAAAACCTAAGGGGATGCCACAAACTTTTCCCAGAGGACCCAAACCCGTGGGGCACCAGAGACTCTGGGCCCCACTAGTATTCTAAGAGGGGATAGGAAGTGCTGGCAGTCAGTGTCTGTATTTGAAAGTCATTTCACATAGTGGCTACTTGAAAGGAAAACACTTCCCTCATTGCTCACCTGTGGCACAGGTAGGACCTACTTCCCAGAAAACAGAAAGGCTGGAGGCTTGGCCTTGGGGACACTGGGCATCTGATTCAGTTAGATACAGTCATAACAAATGGGAATGATTGCTATGTGATATTTACAAACCTCTTTCTACCTAATCACTTGTGTCTAACTTGAGCCTCTACAGACATCCTAAGTTCAAACACCAGCCCTGACTCCTGCTAGCTACTTGACCTGTGGCAAGGTACTTACCTTCAGTGCCCACATATGTAAGCAGGGGCATAATAACAATGCTACATGCACAGGACACTAATTCCTCAGCCCCAGGGAGAGAGTCTGTGGAGTACATCAGGTATATTATCATCTGTCTTACAGTCACTTTAGTGCATGTAGTAAAAGGATGATCACCAGTAAATTTAAAGGGAGAAACAGACAGCCCTAAATATAATAAGGCCTAAATACAAGTCCTAAACATAATAATATATTCATTATATAATATATTATATATTATATAATAATATAATAATATATTTATATATAATATAGTCAAGGATCACCCCAAAATAGAGGAACAGCCACACATGGAGGTTATAGAGACAATTTCAGACAAACCTTTCTCTCATATCTCAATTGGTCTTTGCTCTACATAAGAATGGTAAAATGATAGCATAGTACATATTTAGTGATAGGTAGGCCTACAGGAATATGTGCACTTGAGCCTTTAAAGACATACTCACTTTTTCTCGTGTCTGTCTTTGCAGTCACTGTGCGTGATGTTCGTCTTGATTCATCAGTGGGTGCATCATATGGAACTCTGGAATGCACTTGCTGAAGAATTTCATCTCAAGTGAAGTAAATAAAGGCAAGTTAAGGACTGCCAGGGCAGGACTGACATATTTCTCTCTGTAAGTACCTCAAGCAGACTATAATAAAAGCAATGAATGAATGACACCAACTTAATGGCTATGTAAAATTACATTGTAAAATACCTTATCTTGGGGAAAGAAATTCTGGTTCCCTATGTCTTTTCAGAAAAGACGTGACTTCACTAGATATAGCAGGAAACATGGCTCACTAGACCGAGTGAGCTGGAAACTATGCCCCAAATCTCATATGTACTGTCCTAATTTTCCTTCTTGTTCTTGTCATCATTCTGCTCCATTTTTGAGTTTTTCTCCAGGAAGGCCCATTAAATATGAGGGAAGGGGGTGCCTCCCTGGTGGCACAGGAGATTGTCTGCTATGAAGCTGTGGGTAGCCACTGCAGCACGAGTTGGATCCCAGGCCAGGGGGCAGACCCACATGGCGCAGCAGACCTCTCCTGTCTCGCCCACTGCTCCCCTCAGCAGTGTACTTCGGTCAATCTGCCTGTTCTGCTCCCCACTCTGTCTCTGGTGAATCCTCTCACCTCCCCACACCTCTGGCCTATCCCCCAGCTCTTGCATACATAAATAAATAAATCTTTTTAAAAAATGAGGGAAGGCTGTGCAGGTAAAAATTATGCTGAATATATTTTTAAGTCATAAATATATTTTTAAGGAATATATTTTTCCTAATTTTTCACAGATATGGGGTTTTTTTAATATATTATTTTCTCCTTCACTTTTAAAGTTTTTAGGCTCTTACTTTTCCCTGGTGACAGTGTTTATTCCTTTTGGTTTACTGTGCAATGCACTGAAAACAATCATCACAAATTCCACTCATTTTGTACATGTTCTGAGTCCTTCTTCAAGGGCTGTTGGTACCTTGGGGGGTAGTCTACACACCTGATGCTGCTATAAGGACACACAAAAATTAACCATCACATTCACTCATTCAAAATGCTGAGTTTTCAGCAGTGTACTTCGGTCCTCCTGCCTGCTCTGCTCCCCGCTCTAGCTCTGGTGAATCCTCTCACCCTCCCGCGCTTCTGACTATACCCAGTGCTTGTATAAATCAATCAATCTTGAATAAATAAATAAATATTTTTTTAAAAAATGCTGAGTTTTTATCACCAACCCTTCCTTTTTTTTAAAAAAAAAAAAAGATTTATTTATTTTATTTATACAAGCACTGGGTACAGTCAGAAGCACGGGAGGGTGAGAGAATTCACTAGAACCAGAGCGGGGAACAGAACAGGCAGACAGGCTGAGAACACTGCTGAGGGGAGCAGCAGGGACCCTCTCCAGTGGCCAGGGATCGAACCGGTGCTACAGAGGCTGCAGGCAGCTTCACAGCCCAGCGCTCAACCGCTGTACCACCGGGGAAGCCCACCAACCCTTCCTTAATGAGCATTTTGACCTATAAGTTTCTGAACTGCTGCTCAGAGAGAACCTGGGAAGCTTACAGGTGGTCTCCAATGCCAAGGCCAACACTGGCATGCACTGGGGAGGCCAGCAGGTGATGGCATCCTCCAAAACCCTAAAGCAGACCCCCATGTCCAAATGCACTCACTCCCCTTGCACACAAGTGGAGCTGGATTCAGAGACATGGAGCACCTGCAAGGAGAAGTCTTCTGATTTCCAGGTGTAAATTCCTGAAACAAGGCTAATGGGACCGCAAGGGCCATTCTCACCCTTTCATTCAATCACGCAACCTACTCATCAATCATCCACACAGTGCAGATGTACTGAGGCCTCTTTACTAACACACATGGAAGCAAGGCAGTCCCACAATCCATGACATGGGACAGCTCCTGGAAAAAAGGTCCACCTTCCATGTAGAGAGATGTCCCTTTTCAAACAAGAGTATCAGGCATCGCCAGTCGGGACATTCTCAATCCACCAGCTCCTAACCCAGAGGGAAGCTTCAGGGTTCCCACTCCTGAGAACTCCTTCTCAGAATAAAGGTCCACTCCTAACCACACACAGCCCCCAGAGAGGAGAGATTTCTCTGGAGTCTGGACAACTTCCTGCAGCAGTTGGTTGTGCTTTTAAACATTTTCCCTCAGTCTCAGCTCTGTCAAAGAGAACATCCCTGGGCCTAGCTAGAAGTGGAGTTGCTGGGTCACCTGGTATTTCCGTGTTCAAAATTTGGAAGACCCACCCAACCACTTTCCAGAGAGACCACTCTTTTATACTCCTACCAGCAATGCTCAAATATCCTTATGTCCTACATTTTCCTGGTTTTAAGTAGACATTCCAATGGGTGTGAAGTCATACCTCATTGTGGTTTTGATTTGAATTTCCCTAATGACCAGTAATAATGAGAATCATTTTTTTTAAGATTTATTTTATTTTATTTTATTTATTTATTTATACAAGCACTAGGTACAGTCAGAAGCGTGGGAGGGTGAGAGAATTCACCAGAGCCAGAGCGGGGAGCAGAGCAGGCAGAAGGACCGAAGTACACTGCTGAGGGGAGCAGCGGGCGGCAGGAGAGGTCTGCGCGCCATGTGGGACCCTCCTCCGGTGGCCTGGACGGGAGCAGCTGGGGATCGAACTGGCGCTGCAGAGGCTGCCAGCAGCTTTGAAATTCAGCGCTCAACCGCTGCGCCACCAGGGAGACCCCAAGAATCACTTCTTATTGACCGTTTGTATGTCTTTTTGAAAAGATATCTATTCAAGTCCTTTGCTCATTTTTAAAATGAGATGTTTGATTTTATTGTTGTTGTTGAATTGTAGAATTTCTCTCTATATGAATTAATAAAGATTAATCTCTTATCAAATACATATGATTTGTAAATATTTTCTCCCATTCTGTGTGCTGTCTTTTTCCTGTCTTGATGTATACTTTGGTGCACAAAGGTTTTCAATTTTGATTGAGTCCAATTTATCTCTTTTATCTTTTGCTGCCTATGCTTTTGGCTTAAAAATTAAGATGCTCTACCTAATCCAAGGTTCTGAAGATTTCCCCTCCTCTTCTAAGAGTTTAATAGCCTAAGCTCATTACCCAGGTCTTTGACCCACTTTAAATTTTAATCTTTGATGGGGGCCTCCCTGGTGGTGCAAGGGGTTAAGACACAACCTATGAAGCTATCAGCAGCCACTGCCACACGAGTTGATCCCCCGCCAGGAAGCTGAGCCCCATGGCGCAGCAGACCTCTCCTGTCTCATCTGCTGCTCCCCTCAGCAGTGTATTTCAGTCTGCCTGTTCTGCTCCCCGCTCTGTCTCTGGTGAATCCTCTTACCCCCACTCCCAGTGCTTGTATGTACCCCAGTTCTGGTATGCATAAATAAATCTTCAAAAAATTTTTTAATCTTTGGTGAATGTATAAAGGAAGGATTCTACATCATTACCTTGCTTGTGAATATCCAGTTTTTCCAGGACCATTTGTTGAAGAGACTATCATTTCCCCACAACTGGTGTTGGCACCCTTGTTGAAAATGAACTGACAGTGTGTCTATGCATTTATTTCTGGACTCGCTATTCTAGCCTGACACCACATTTTTAATAATTATAGCTTTGTAGTAAGTATTGAAATGAGCAGGTGCAATTCCTCCAACTTTGTTCTTCTTTTTTCAAGATTGTTTTGACTACTTGCAGTGCAGTGAGATTCTATATGAATTTCTGGAAATGTCTTCATTTCCCCCTAGTCCTTGAAGAACAGCACTGTCAGATATAGAATTCTTGTTTTGACAGCACTTCTCTTTCAGAACTTTAAATATGTCATTTCACTGCTTCTAGCTTCCAGGATTTTTAAGGAGCAATCAGATGTTAATATAGATAGCATCCCTTGTACAGAATGAGTAGCTGTTTTCATTCTGCTTTCAAAATTCTCTCTTTGTCTCTGGGTTCCAACAATTTGCCTACAATGTGTTTAAGGTGGAACTCTTGCGTTTATCAGGCCTGCAGTTCATAGAACTTCTTGGATGTGTATAATCATGAGATTTGGGACGTTCTAGCCATTATTTCCTAGAATATTTTCTCTGTGCCTTTATTCCCTTCCTGGGAATATATATGATGGTGCATGTGATGTTCTCTCACAGGCCCTTCATCCTCCGTCCACTGATTTTCTTTCTGCTCCTCAGACTAGGGAATTTCAATTGCCCACCTTCACATTCACTGATCCTTACTTCCAGCTATTCAAAACTGCTGTCCAATTCCTCAAGAGAATTAATTGTTTGTTTCTGTTACTATACTTTCCCACTGCAGAATTTCCCTTTGGCTCCTTTATACAATTTCTACCTTTTTACTGATAATCTCCTCTTTTTCATACATTGTTATCCTGATTTTTTTTAGACCACCATTCTCTTTATTCATTGAACACACTAAAGAGAGTTGATTTAGCATCTTTGATGAATAATTATAGTTTCTAGGCTTCCTCAGGGATGGGTTCTGTCCAATGGGTCACATTTGTCTGTTTTTCTGTATATTTTGTAATTTATTGTTGATAACTGGCTATTCTGAGTACTCTATTTTGCTAGCTTTGGGTACTTAACTCTTCCACTCAAGGATTGCTGATTTCTGTTTGTTAATGGTTGGAGTCATTCATTTGTGACTTTTCTAAACTATTTTGGCAAAGTTCGTGTTCCTTCTTCAGTGTGGTGTTGAATGTTTCTTATCTCTGTGGTCACTCGGTGACCTGGGAAGGGTTTCCTTAAGTGTCTCCCAAAGGGAGAGAAACAAAAAACACTGGCCCATTAATCCTCTTGCTGGAGTTGCTAAAAAGCCTCCTCATATCATGGGAGTCGAAACAATGGCTCATCTCAGTGCTGGCCCCTCAGTGATCAGAAGCAATAAGCAGTAATCAAAATGCACACCCGAATTCTGGGAGGACACAGTTCCTATGCCCAGGCTGGCACCACGTTGGGAATGTAGCCTGCTGAGCACTTGGCTACCTGCCATGGTCTAGGGGATGAAGAATCATAGGATCATAGGATCATAGGAGGAAACACTGAAGTTCACTAAAATGTACCAGATTCATCAACACGTTCTCCCCTGGATGATGTTCAACTGGATTCCAGAGCTCACAGGTAGTTGCATAGACAGTCCTTCACAGTTGAATGGTAGTATAAGGTAAATGGAATGAATTGTGGCTATTGTACCACGAGCCTCTGTGGCTATCACCTGCGGCCTTGACCCTGTTAATGCAGAAGGCGCTTGGGAGTGTGGGCACAGGGCACGTGTGTCTGCCTAATTGTGGACACCTGGAGCATGGGTGTGCACGCATGTATAAGGTGCACACCTGAGCCTAGAGGGCAGGGATGTAAGGACAGTGTCACTCAGAGAGAGGACAGCTATAAAAGGTCAAGTGACTACAGAAGAGGCAAGACCACAAGAGAAAGCCAGAGAGAGCCCAGAGAAAAGAAAGCGAAAAAACTCACTAGGAGTTGGGGGGCTTACCAGCCTCCTGGCCCCCAGGGTCCCCTGCCTTGCCAGCCTGCAGGCTTGCCACTACAGATAGCTTTGATAAGGGATATCTCTGGAGCTTACCCAACCATCCTTCACCACATGAGAAGTCTCATCCCACAAAAGAGAATCTGTTCAGGTGTCTTTTTTTAACAATCACCCCAGGGGATTCTTATATCAACTAGGGCTGAGGTCCCAGGGAAAAGGTCTGTCCTGGCCCCAGGGCCTCACCATCAATCGCACAGAAATCTCTCACTTGGTCCAGGCAGATGCCCCCCAGCTGGTCTGAGGGCGTCTCACGCCGCACTTCCAGAAAATTTCCACATGGTGGCGCTGCTGCTCCATAGAGCCCTCTTTGAGGGGCTGAAGTCTTCCCAAGAGTTTAAAGCATGTTTTGCTTAATTTCTTAGGACCCTGAATTTAGAGGCTGCTTTCAGCCTCAAAGCACAGCAATTTCCTTACATTTTAGCAGCAGGAATAGATTCTCTGGAAGACAACTCCAGGGCCTTGCAAAGTTTCACATGAAAAAGGTTCTTACCAAATAGTCCTGCCAATTTTTCTTCTTGTTTACTTGAACTAGATGTGAATTCAGCACTTTTCAAGACCTTTTCTTGAGGATAACCTATGGGAAAAAATCCTGGGCAGTGAGTAATCTTTCATTGGATCTGCATGCATTCTTTTAAAATTAATACTCCCTTGGGAGAGGGGAAGGGGTAGGCAAATTGGGAAAAAAGAGGACAATGGTATGGTGAAAGCTAACTGGATTTTCAGGGGAGGGCTATGTGTTGTGGACACCTGATGATTCTCAAAGACGAACACCTGAAACGTATATGTTATAATGCAACGTTATAATAATAAATAAATATAAAACATGAATCCCTTTTAAAATCAATACTGTCTTAACATTGTACAAAAATGAGTGACGAGGGGCCTCCCTGGTGGCACAGGGGTTAAAGACATGCTATCAAGCTAAGCTACTGCCAGCCACTACAGAACGAGTTTAATCCCTGGCCAGCCAGTGAGCTACCCACATAGTGCAGCAGACCTCTCCTGCCTCTCCACTGCACCCCTCAGCAGTGTATTCCAGTAGATCTGCCTGTTCTGCTCCCCACTCTCTCTGGTGAATTCTCTTACCCCCACCAACCTCTGGCTTACACCCCAGTTCTTGTATACATAAATAAATAAATCTTTTTTTAAAATGAATGATGATGTAAAATATATATAAATTTTTTAATTAAAAAAATAAAATCAATACTGTCTTGCATGGTATTCTGGGGAACATCATGCAACTGGCCTGCCCTGGACTTGGCTTCCAGGCCAAACTGCACACTCTTGGGCAGTGATGCTCTGCGGGCTTTGCTTTTCTCATCTGAGATTGGTGGGGAACAGCCAAGCCCCAGGAGGCCTGTGAGAAGTGGCAGATAAAATTTGCTGATGGGCTCTGTAGACAGAGCAGTAAATCCTTCCCTTACCACAGATTATCTATCAAGAATGGAATTATCTATCAAGAATGGAAGTAAATGGCTTGCCTGGTTAAGCTGAGTGCTCAGCTGGGGGCAGGGGGAGGAGCAAAGACAGATGAACACCATTTCAGGTGTTTTAAAGAAAAACCTTCCCCTGTCTCTAAGATGACCACAAGCAAGACCTTGACCATTTGGGAAATGTGCCGCTTTCCAGCTCTGGAGGAGAGGGAACAATCCCACCACAGACTCTGCACCCAGCCCCCTCTGGGTCTACACTGGGGAGGGGGTGCAGAGGGTCTGAGGCTACCCCTACTTGATAAGCATGAGCACGCTGATCCCTGCTGACCTCCCGGACAACAAAACATTAAAGTGCAGATGGAAAGGGGCTGGGTCAACACCCCCACCCACCGCCCCCCCCCAGGACTTCATGGACCCAGTTCAAGACTTCCACGGACACTCAGTGGCTGCATCAAGAACATGCATTAATTGTGCTAAAAGGCTGTAGCAACCTGTGGAGATTTTGAGCTAGAATTTCAGGTTTTTCTTTATGAAAGCTGAGATAACTCATTGTCCAAACACATTTACTTGATTTGAGGTGGTCAGCCCTTTTTTTCTGGCCCCACCAAAGAGCAGAAACTTATCCTTAATGAAGTTTTGTCAGGCCACAACACCCACCTATCATGAGTGATATAGAGCATTCATGAAGTGTCTGCAAAATCTGAAAACCAGTGACAACGTTGATTTTCACATGGTTTCCTCACAGATAATCGGCATAGCGATTGGGTAATTTGTGCACATGGCAGCTTTCAACTCTACAAAAAAAAAAAAGCAGTAAGGCCTGTGTGGAATATGACAAATGATCTCTAGTATGGTGACTTTGATCCAATAAATGGCAAGTGTGCAGCTCTCTGTTAATGAGACATTAGTGAATCATTAGGAATAGATACTTAATCATGCAGACACTTTGCTGAAAATGTGTTCATCCTAGTGTGTCGGCCAAGGGAGCATAATAAAACAATGTGTAGAGCACACCATCATGATTACATAATAAAATACTGTCTTAATCATGTGGTTTATAAAATCCATGGGCAGGGTTCATTGCCTATAAAATTGGTTTGCTAATAGCTTTATAATTTCAATATGGCACACATGCCTGATTTATCCTGATAACTACCCAATTTCCATTTTGTTTAATGCACACAGTGTTCGCCTTAATGGGTTTCTCTGTCACCTGTGTGATTTAGGCAATGCACATGTTTTTGCATATGTGAACAGCTTCGTCCCCTAGGCTTTGATATTTGAATATCAGCACAAAGGGAGAAATTAACTCTGCTCCTTAGTGCAGATATTTTCCAGAGGCTGGGGAAGGGGGGCGTTAAGGGGGACACTAAGTCAGTGACCGGGGCCCTCGTGCATATTAAAAGCCCTGTTAAATAGAAGGTGTTTACACTAGTGATGGCAAGTTACCAGGAAGAGTGAACGCCACTTGCAAATCTGGTTCCCTTCCTCTGAACAACCTCCAGAATGAGAGAATCGACCTAACTCGTGAACTTCAGACATCACCCCAAAATACAGGGTCACATTTTACACCATAGACTTCCATAATTGGTAGAAGGTTACAGAGAATATTTTGGACAATTCTTTCTTCCACATCTCAATTTGTCTTTGCCCCATATGTACCTGGCTTAAGGAATACTAAAACAATAGTACAAATAATACAACACATAGGCCTTTAGAAAATGTGCACTTGCAGTTTTAAAGACATATACTTGCTTTCTTTCATGCCTCTTTCTGTAATCAGTTTGGTTGTTGTTCTTTTTGTCTCATCCAATGGATCTTGAGTTAACACTTGCAGTAGAATTTTATCTCAAATGAAGGAGGAAAAAAAAGGCATGTTAATACCAGCAATCTGGGATTAACATTTTCTGCTCTTTAAGTATCTAAGAAGTCAGGGAATAAAAGATATGATGTTATACTCTCAAACGCCTTGTCTTGAGAAGAAGTGCATCCGTCTGATTCATTTCTGAGAAGTGGTGAATGTGCCAGATGTACTTGGCAGCAAACACTGCTCGTATACATATGGGGCCAAGAATTTTGCCCAGATTTCATATTTAGTGTGATACTTTTCCTTCCTGCTTCTATTGTCATTCTTCTCACCTCTAAGATTGTCCCCAAATTGTCCTCAGTGAACAAACCTCCTTCCTGTTTCTACAAGACACACTTCGTTTTCTGCCCTGGAGACCTCACTACCCACCCTAGAAGCCAGTTACAGCGAGTGCTGCAGCTGTGGCAGACGCATGCGACTCAGACCCCGATTTTGCTGTGAGACCACTGTGTTGGACAAAGGACTCCCCCTCTTTGATCTTTGCTTCCCTCACTGGTAAGATGGGGATATGGTTCTTCGGTTCTAGAACTTTTGTAAATATGGAATAAAACTGTATTTAAAACACAACACCATGGTGAGGATCATACTAAAGGTTAGTATTTGGAAACTGCTCAGCACCATTTTATTTATAACAGTACCCAGATTAGCTAGTTAATATTGTTTGTTTTCTGCTCATTGGAACTCTGTGCAAGTGAAATATGGATAAGGAAGAAAAAAATATAAAATATAAAGTACAAAGGAGGGACCTCCCTGATGGCACAGGGGTTAAAGTCTCAGCACTATTAAGCTATAAACAGCCATTGTGGCCTGAGTTCGATCCTGGCCAGGGAGCTGACCCACATGGTGCAGCAGACCTCTCCTGTCTCGCCTGCTGCTCCCCTCAGCAGTGTATTTCAGTGGATCTGCCTGTTCTGCTCCCCATTCTGTCTCTGGTGAATCCTCTCACCCCCTGCACCTCTGGCCTACATCCCAGTTCTTGTATGCACAACTAACTAAATAAATAGATATATAAATAAATCTTTATAAAATGCAAACGAAACAAAGATGTCATTAACAAATGACAGAAATAAGAGATATCTGCCAGAGATTCTGTGACCTTCCATCACCAGTTACACTCACTCCCTGTCAGGCCTAATGGTGGTTGGAACCTTGGGGGTAGTAGGCACTTATCTCTACCCTCTCTTGCAGCCAGGAGAGAGCTCTGCAACCTGCAATTTCCTCTGAGGACTCTTGGAACCCTGGAAGAATCTTGCTTCTTCAGATGGAAGAGAAAATAGTGCTGGGACTACGACTCCCTGTCCCTTTTGCCTGCCTTAAAGTAAATGTGATGTCAACAGCTACAGAAGCCATCTTTTGACCAAGAGACAAAGGCTTGAGGGAAGGCCTTGATGACCCCTAAGATGGCTCCTATCCACACAGTGTCAGTCAATTTCCTTCACCAACATCTGGTGCTCACTGTAGTCTCGGGGTGGCTCTGGTGGGTCTGGCTGTGACAGGCAGGCAGTGGGAAGAGCCTCCTGGGAACACTCACATGATGAGCTACCAGCATCATGAAGAGTCTTGGAGGGGCTGCTCAGGTGACAGTTACCACCGAGATGTCAGGTGACACTCCCTGGGCCTCAGAACATAGGGTACTCGCCCCGGACAATTCCTTGTCACAGCTGCTGGATGCCCAGGACAAATCCAAAGGGCTGTCTCATAGAGTTTAAAACTTCATTTATAAATATTGTATATGAAAACTGTACCCACAAAAATTTGGTGGAAGTTGTATGGGGTACGGGGAAGAACAGTAACAGATTCTATGTGTTTAGAAACCTATGTTTATAAAACAGTTACTAATTATTCATGGTTATATATTTTTTTAATATATTAATTTTTCAGCTCTTTGCTAATGAGGACGTCCCTGAGTGTTTTACAAATATTACATGGAAGGCTTGGAGTAGATCAATGAGTCTGAACCTAAGGTTTCCTGGATGCTATAAAAACCACTCACACATAGTTCTCATCCCATGCCAAGAAGTCTGATCAGGTATCTTTTTTTAAAAAAAAAACTTTTTTTTAAAGATCTATTTATTTATTTATACAAGAACCGGGGTACAGGCCAGATGTGCGGGAGAGTGAGAGGATTCACCAGAGACAGAGCGGGGAGCAGAACAGGCAAACTGATGAAACACACTGCTGAGGGGAGCAGCAGGCAAGACAGGAGAGGTCTGCCTCGCCATGTTGGACCCTCGCCAGTGGGCCTGATCAAACCGGTGCTGCAGAGGCTGCGGACAGCTTCAGAGCGCTGCACTCAAATGCCTGAGCCTCCAGGGGAGGCCCTGATCAGGTATCTTTTTAATGATCACCCCAGGAAATTCTCATGCCCAATCATGGCTAAGGTCCCAGGGAGAAGGTCTATCTCAGACTCAGGGCCTCACCATCTCTAACACGTACAGAAATCTCCTGGCATCTTGTCTAGACAGATGTGATGCAGCAGGTCTGAGGGGCTGCACACTGCACTTCCATAAGCTCCTCGATATTGGACTAACCTCTCCTGCAGGGGCATTGTGGTGGCACAAGGGATTAAGCACAGCACTGTGAAGCTATCCGCAGCCTCTGCAGCAGGAGTTCGACTTCGATCTGGCAGGCCAGGGAGCTGAGCCTCATGGCGCAGCAGACCTCTCCTGTCTCATTCACTGCTCCCCTCAGCAGTATATTTCAGTCAATCCGCCTGTTCTGTTCCCCACTCTGTCTCTAGTGAATCCTCTCAACCTCTGTACCTCTGGCCTGTACCCCAGTTCTTGTATGCATGAAGAAATAAATCTTAAAAAAAATAATAACTTGCTTGCAGTTCCCAGAGACCTCCCACCCCACAACCCCATTACATGGCCCTTTCTCAAGAAGGAGCAAAATCCTTTTCAAGCACTTAGCTTCTAGATTCTGCTTAATTTCTTAGACCCTGACACTTAACGGAACTGGTTCTAGCCTCAAGACAAATGCACACTGAGACAACAAAGAAACACTAAAGGAGGAGATGAAAAGGACAGAATCTGTGCCGTGAAATGATGATGAGTCAATACCAGCACATAAGGGGCTATTTTAGACAATAGGAAGTTTGAAGTCTTGTAGTATCCACATAGCAAAAATTTAGGTTACGTGACTTAGAAGAAATGAACAAACTGAAATACCAGGGAAAACCATCCAAACAAAAAGGCAGAAAGAAATACATTGAAAAAGAAACAACAGAATGATCAAACAACCAAAAAGCAAAAGACAGAATGGCAGTAAATAAGCCTGATGCAGCAACAATCACCCTAAATGTGAATGGTCTGAACTCAGCAATTAAAAGACACAGAATGTCAAATTGGATAAAACATATGATCCGTCTATATTTTGCATACAAGAGTCTCATTTCAGATCTAAAGACAAACAAACATGAAATGAAAGGCTAGAGCAAAGTATTTTAAGCCATCAACAGAGAGATAAAATAGAGAACTGCTATCCTCACATCTGATAAATTCAACTATCAGCCAAAAAAAGGTAATCCATAACAGAGAGGGGCACTACATAATGGTCAAGGGAAAAATTCATCAAAAAGATAGAATTGTCATCAATATTTATGCACCCAACACAGCACCACCAAAATATAGAAAACAAATATTAACAGCCTAGATAGAGCAGCACATCAACAGCAACACTCTAATAGTAGGGAATCTCAACATACCAATTACATCCCTGGATAGATCATCCAGACAGAAAGTAAACTAAGCAAATAATGTCTTAAATGAAGTATTAGAATAGACGAACTTAATAGACATTTACAGAGCCTTCCAACCCAAAAGAAATGAATACACATTCTTCTCAAGTGCTCATGGAACTTTCTCAAGTATAGATCATATGCTGGAACACAAGATATGCCTCAAAAATAGATGAAACTAGAAGTGGTATCAAGCATCTTCTCTGATCACAATGGCATAGAGTTAGAAATTGACTGCACAAAGAAGCCCATTTAAAAAAAACCCAAACATGTGGAGACTAAACAAATACCTTTAAGTAAACTCCTAAGTCAATGAAGAAATCAAGGGAGAAAAGTATCTGGAGATACTTAAAAAGGCAAGCTACCAGGGCCTCCCCTGGTGGCACAGCAGTTGAGCCCTGGGCTGCGAGGCTGCCCACAGCCTCTGCAGCGCTGGTTCGTTCCCCTGCGGCCGGCAAGGGTCCCACAAAAAAAAAAAAAAAAAAAAGACAAGCTACCAGATCCCATGGGATGCATGAAAAGGGAAGTCCACAGAGCAATACAGGCCCACATCAATAAACAAGAAAAATCTCAAATAAACAATCTAACTTTACATCTGAATGAACCAGAAAAAGTGAAAACAAAACAAAAACCAAAAATCAGTATAAGGAAGGAAATAATAAACAATTAAAGCTGGAATGCTGGTAGGGAAGACAGGAAGTAAGGGTAATAATTAAGATTATTCCAGAACACACTGTCTGCCAGGCACTCTTTCACGTATACTAAATATCTTTAAACATATATATATGGTGGAAAAAAATAGAAACCAAGACACAGTTTAAAAGATTAATGGTGTTTGCTTCAGCAGCGCATATACTAAAAAGATTAATGAAATCAAGAACTGACTCTTTTTTTTCTTTTAAAGATTTATTTATTTATACAAGCACTGGGTACAGTCAGAAGCACAGAGGGTGAGAGAATTCACCAGAGCCAGAGCGGGGAGCAGAACAGGCAGGCTGACAAAACACACTGCTGAGGAGAGCGGTGGGCGCGGCAGAGAGGTCTGCGCGCCATGTGGGACCCTCGCAGGCAGCCGGGGATCAAACCGGCGCCACAGAGGCTGCAGGCAGCTTCGCAGCCCAGCGCTCAACCGCTGTGCCACTGGGGAGGCCCAAGAACCGACTCTTTGAAAGCATAAACAGAATTAATAAACCTTTAGCTACCCTCACGAAGAAGAGAGGAAATCCAAATAAAAGAAACAGA